CATCCTTGACATTGTCGAGCGCAATGCCTGCATTAGTACGCGACGGATATCCATACGTTTAGGGATTCCCAATACCAGGGTATGGAGAACATTAAAAAGAAATCTGCTGCATCCGTATCATCTACAGCGTGTTCAACATCTGAAGCCAGAACACTTCCCTAGGCGTTTGGCATTTTATCAGTGGTTAAATAATAATACTCGAGATGGCATAAATAACATCCATAATTTGCATAAATGGTCGGACATTAACCCTCATGCTACCATAGAAAGTTATTTTCAAAGCAGATTTAGCATTAATCTGTGGTGCGGAATGTTGTACGATCAACTTATAGGACCGTTTATTTTTGAAGATCGTCTTACCGGACAAAGGTACTAGCAATTTTTGGAAGAAAAACTTCCGCGTTTACTGTGGGATGTACAGTTTCGTTCAGATATAATGCGAAAAGACCCGCTCGTAGAGGCATAAAATTGTACTAGAAACGACCTACGTTCACGAGGCATTCAATCCAGATTTTACCTGCTCTGTAGTGTTCAGTAGTGTTGTAAAAGTTCCGAACAGACAAGCAGGGTAATGTGATTTATGGCCAAGATGACTGAATCACAAGGAAAAATTAAGAAAATAAATAGGTATAAGTAATCCATTTACTTTACACAATTCCTGTAGTAAATGAAAATAATTGCTAATAAGGAATACCCATTGTTCTCTATGTAACAGTGCAATCTGGTGGCCATGGAATTAACTAATTTTTCGTTTCATCCTGGCCGCGAAACAATTCCCACACAACTGTAATGTTGCGGCGCAGACTCTCTACGTTGCGAATCGGAAAGTTGGCATTTTTATGGAACTGTTTTTCCACCAAAGCCCATAGATTTTCGATTGGGTTAAGATCCGGTGACCGCGCTGGCCAGGGTATTCGCCTAACCTCATTATGGTCGTCAAACCACTCCTGAACAATTCTTGAAGAATGAACGGGCGAATTGTCTTGTACTATCGTGATGATCCCTTCTGGATACCAGGTTCTTACTGATGGTATCAAAACATCCTCCAGCATTCGAATGTATTCAATCGAATTAAATCTTCCTTTAATTTCAGTCAGTTCTCCCGGTCCATGAATGCTCATCCATCCCCAATAACCCAAGGAAACATATTGGATTGAACATGATTAGCATCATACCGAGTTCCATCCCTTCGCCATAGTAATTTTTTATGGTCGTCCGACGAACAGAAGATTTTCTCGTCTGTGAAGATGACTGATTCTCAATTATATTCAAGGTATTCACGGGCAAATCGTAACCGTGTTGTAGCCAATTGCTCCATAATTATGGGTTTTTTACAGCTACCCGGTTATGAATGCCTTTTGCATGCAATGCTCTCCGGATGGTAAGATTAGAACATTCCAGCCCTTGATTCTCGTTGATAATTGTGGACGTTCTAAATGGATTGGCGGTGACGTATTCAGCAATTCCCCTTCGCTGAGCATTATTAAGAATAAGTCTTCGGCCTGATCTAGAAGTTGTAAGGCCAACTTCCCCGTTTTCTTCAAATCTTCCAATCCACCGATATATTTGACTCACCTATAGTAAGAATGCATCTATGTAATAATTATGTATTAAATACGAATGTTTTTATCAGTAAAAAATTGCAAATACCCTCGGAAAATTGAACTGAAAAGATTACCGTATAGGTTCGATTATCAGCCCCGTCCGATTCTAAGACGAACCCCATTTTCATGAACGATTGTTATAATAAAAAGGTAGGTATTTTTTTAAATTAAGACACGATTTTTACATAACGAAAATATACAGAAAATGTAATATGTATTTATTAACAAATTTCTCGAAATATTGTATGGGGTATTTTAAGACTCAGCCTATTGAAAGAAAGTGAATTTAAAAACAAAAACGACAAACTTCAAAAAATGCCCAGACAAATTTGAAAATCGAGCGTAAACGGTAATTGATAGAACTTACTAATAAGCCTACACATTCGGCAATTTCCCGTTTATCTATTCCTTCTTGATGAAGTGCAACAATTGCTCCCCTCGTAGTCAAACCTGACTCTCGTTGACCAAGAACACGAGTCATGTTGTTTTAAACAAAACAGACAAATTTCAACTACACAAATTTTTGTCATCTGGACATAAAATCACTTTTGCACACCCCCAAGAATCTATATGACTGCCATAAATTACAAAAAAAATTCTAAGAAAGAAAGAATTTTTAAGAAAGAAATTTTTGTCTTTAAAAAGGAAAAAGCCTTATTTTTAAAATAACATAAGAGATATACTTATGTTTGAAATAAATACACGTAATTTTGATATTGAATAATTCTATTTAAAATTTGAAGGAGAGTTTCATGAAGTTTTATTTATAAGTTATTAATTATATTACTGAGATTTTTATCTGACGTTTTATTTATAGAAATACTCTAAAATCATTTATTAGAGGAACATATGAAAAATCGTGTATTTGTTGTGCTTAAAAATATCAAAAAAGATTTAAAATAAAATACAACTAACACCTTTAAAAAAAGGGTGATCCATTCTTCGGCCCACTCCAAACTGGGACGGTTTTATCTCGATTTTACCCTCTTCCTTTAGTCTCAGAAATCGAGTTGAATAGAAACAAAAGATGTCTCCGTCTTCTTCCAGTACCAGCGTCATGTCGGAGCTAACAGCGGCCGATTCGCATTAATTCTGAACAGAGCTGTACATCTTCGGCTATATCACCAATTCGGCGGACAACAGTATAATTTGAAAGAGGTATGGATTGTAATTGTTTGGCAAAATTATCTCTAAACATAGTTTCTACAATCTCCATCGCAACTGGCAGAATAAGGTCTTCACCAATGGTGTGAGCCTTTTTTATATCTGGCTATTTTATATAATACTTTGTAAGAGGCAAGTAAAACTTTTTCGTTCACAAACAAAGGTTTTTTGCTAACTAATTTTAATTCAAAGAATTCTCGGGGCTTGTTAACGTACTCACTATGAAGTGTTTCCAAATGGCGTCTAAGTTTATTAGGTTTCATGCTGTCTGCTACCAAAATTTTTAAATAAATGACGCAAAAGAAAGGTAGAGGGGCGCCATAAAAATTGTTATTGAAAATTGGGGCCCGAATACTGAAACGTTGAGAAACGCTGGTGTATAGAATAAAATTTACATTTCTTTGTTGGATTAATTCAAACAATATTTTCTAGATCACGTCTTGAATATTACGAGCAGTCCTGTGCGGTAGATAGCGTGACGAAAAAATGTGCCGGTTCGCCATCGGAATGTCGCCTTGCAATGTTGGGAATTCTTGGGACAGATCTCAGGACGACCTGTGCTTGTAAAGGAACGGATATGACACAGTTATACGAGTGTTTAGGATGGCAGAGGCTGCTCTGGGTTAATCCTTGCGTCGGTACGTACTCCGAAGTTGCGCAGGCCACAGTTGCGAAATTATGCAGCACCAATTTCGTGTAAATAACCACACGCGTTTACACGTTTTATTACGTTTTTGATACAGCACGGCCAGTTTTTCACGTTCGTAACGAATTAATTAATCACCTTAGGGCACCACAACCCGCGATATTCAATGAATGTGATATTGAGTGATACACATAATTGTATTTGTTTTAGTTGAATCTCAAAAAGATTTTCATATTAAAAAAGCTGCTGAACAAGCGTTATTATCGACTACTTTGGTACCTATCAAGATGACTACAACAGCTAGAGCAAGTTATACACTTGGAAGGGTTACTTTGGCGAGCGCAACCGTTTCGTCGTCGTTTTCAGGGGAAAATTCTCACCCAGAGTACTTACCGCAGCCCATAATACCAACACCAACGACTACTACAACCACAACTACCACGACAACCACCGTTGCGACAACCACCGTGCCACCGAGTGAGTTTTATTATTTTAATCCGCGCTTCAATAGACAATATAATTCTAATATATCTGATTAAAATGTAACTAAATTGTACATAGTATTAAGCTGATTAGTGGAAAGTTTGTGCATGCGCGACGACAAGTACTTGTCCTCTGTCAATTCGCGGTCAAATTAAACTTCAATACGGAAATATTGATCTCTAAGCTCTACGCTGGAGGTTCGCAACTAGAAACCACATTTGCGTCAAACTTCAAACAATTAAAAACATGGTTTCGACCAATCGGCATGATGAAAATCAATGAACGACTTATGAACTTCCGCGTCGATGCGTTTAATCTCAGTAAAAGCTTTTTCTGTTATTCGTCCCAAGGTTCGACTGCGACTTTATTACAACGACGACGTAGTAATTCAGACCCAAGCCGCTTAGTGCGTTTTAAACCAATTCTGTAATTTATCTTTTCTTTTCTTTTTTTTACAGAGTTTTGTGTGGTTCAAAGGCCACAATTTCCCGATCAATACATCAAAGAAGGCAGCTTTAAACGAGTAAGTTAAATGCGTTAACTTGAATGGCTTTAAAAGGATTTTAAATGACCCGTGCATCATCTTTTCAACTTCTCTGGGACAAGTTTATCTATGATATTAAATTTTGCATAGTTAAATAGATTCAACGAGCGTCTTAAGTCCATATGGTGGTGGCAGATGATATATTGGACCACGATAATGCTGATGTACCATTTTCTGAACGGTCGGGGAAAGAACCTATTTACATAATGAAGTATTTTTTGCAATCCTTTCTAAAATAAATATTTTTTATGGTTAATTTATTAGAAACTAATTTCGAAACCCCATGTTATAAGCTGTGAAACTATTAATGTCCTTTTATTTTAATAAATTAAACTTTTGGAACTTGTTTGCCTTTCTCGTTGGCAGTGGCTTAAAATAGAACATTGGATCGATTATTTTACGTGTACAACTGACTCCTAAATGGCTCGCCAAAATTCAGTTCAAACGTTCCCACCAAATTCTACTGAACTTTACGTTTTTTGTTGGTGTTTTTACAACCCGGCTTTTTTTATTTACTGAACTTACTAATCAAATATTTCGCGCCATGTTCAACATTTATTTCTCAAAAAAAAACTTTTATAAATAACATTAATTCCAATAAACTCCAATCTGTAACGCGTGCGAATAACACGTTTCGTTTCTTGGAAATTTTAATTAAGTTCACTTAGTCCGTCATTCTGTAAAACAGAAAACAAACCTTTTCAACTTCAAAATAATGTTACGATCTTACCGGAAACTTTTATTAAGCACGTTCCAGACGTTAATTGTGCAGTCAGATCAAAATTTTTGCAATCTCGATTAATCAAAGGTTTCAGTATAGTTTATTAATTTCGTGCAAATACAAACTACATTCGAGTTGTACTCCATACAGACCAATTTCCATAATTCCATAATAATTTTACTTCGTTCGCAGTAAGTAATTGGTATAGATCGTTTGAACGCTAACCGTACGTGTCACGTCATTCCTAAAGGTTTGATAAGAGGCAACAACGTCCAATTAGAGACGTGTTTGTACCTAAAGACACTGAACTATATCTAAATCTATATGTAGATATTTCCAAACATGGAAACAGTCTTCTTTGTTATGAGTTTAATTTAAAGGGGATTGTAGAGACGCTTGCGTTCTACTGATGACATACAAAATTAGACCTTATCGAGTATGACACGTGCCCGCATATATCAGCAGAAATTTTCGTTCAATATGCACCGGTTTGACAAACTTCGACTTCGTGGGGAAAAAAATTGAGACGCGCCGAAAAAATTCGGCTGCACCACACTTTGCATAACTTAATTTACATTCATGAGTCATACTTGATACATTCAAATTTTGTACCGTCGTCTGTAGTTCCTTATTAAAACTCAACTTTGGACTCCGTTTCTAGATTTACCACGCTGACGAGTACGAATGTTCGGACGTGTGCGAATGCGAAATCGGAGAGAAATTATCGTGCAAGACGATATGCATAGATAGGATGCCCTGTAAGACCGAATTCGCGTTCTACAACCATGCAGCTCCGGCCTATCAAGCCTACAGGGGTCGTTGCCTCTGTTACTCGGGCCATTTCATCTGTATGAAACCCTTACCGACTGACTACAGCCTTCCACAAGGAGTCTACCTTTTTTTGGGTTACAGCGAAGTGGATGAAAGAGAACTAAATAAAAATCATACCCGAGTTACCGTTCAAAATATCGTTCACGTATTACAAGATTTCATTAAACAGGAAGCAGTTAACGGGGTAAGCGCCTTGATTTCAAATATATTTCAATAAAATACCTCTGTCCGCAAAATAATTATTATATTTCAATTCGATAAATGTATTTTTAACCAAAATATACAATTATTTTCGCATAGGGGTAAACCGGAAAATGAATTCCTGCATTAAAATTATACCCACAAAAAAAATGCGATTTATTTGTTTTTTTTTTACATTATCCGATTTTTCCTTTATATATTTAGTTAAAATATTTGTAATTAGAAATTTTACATACTCAATAATCTATTTATTTTATTTTGGAGTTCTGTTTTAATAATTAATAAATAATATAAACCTAATTAATAAATAATTAAATATAAATATAAACCTAAAGATGCCTAAAATACTAAATTGTGTATCTTTACCAAGATATACATATAAGAAATGATTTCGCCTCAAACCGCCTCAAGGTCGCTTGCGGGCGAGGCGCTAGATTTGATATATTAACACAAAAGCATCAGCTTTAGACGATTCTAGCCCCGAAGTTGCTTGCAGCCAAGTTATACCTGATTAGACAACACACATTACAGGACCACAAGAGACCTCGGTTTAGGTTAGGTTGAATCGGCTTGGGTTGGGTTGAAATATGTTGCTTTAGGTTAGGTTGTAATATTATTCAGAGGACGTCATAATCTCCATCCTAAATTCACACATTTTCATAACAATCAAAGTCAATGCAAGTGATAAATAGAAAATATCAAAGTAACTTCTCACTTGCTTTATTTAAAAAATTTTCAGTCGTACATATTTCGGGAATAAAATCTCATCAGCGACAAGCTGTTAAAAAATAGAAATCACTTCAATATATATAAAAAAAATCAATTAACACACTCATTAACACGTTCATTGCCAGACACGCGATATCGCGCGATGCGAGTTCTCACCAAACGGCACGATATCGCGATATCATATGGAAAAAAACCATGAAAAAAAAATGACTTGGCCACCGCACGAAACTTCAATTTTTAGCTTGGCAATGAACGTGTTAAAGAATAAAATCAAAAAAATAAATTTACAAATGATTATCAAACATTCAACAATTTAAAAAGTATTTTTATAAATCAAAAAAATCAAAAATTTTAATCTCTTACGTCCAATTTACTAACAATCTACATCTCAAGAGAACATGGATAAAAATATATATACAGGATGCCCCATATATACGGTTAAAGGATACATTATTCTGAAGCAATTTTTCTAATAAAATTTTTTCGAAATGTTTATAATAACCGCACGGGAACTGTTTAAAAACGACCAATAGCAGATCGTAACTCGTTTCCCACGTGTACTCACCAATAGATTCGACACGGAAAGAGAAATAAACTTTTTCGGTGAATCAAAGTCGTCCGCTATTGGATAATAGCGGATAACTTTAAACTGTTCCCGTGCGGTTATTATAAACTTACTGTTAGGAACTGTGGGAAAATGTCCAATCCAATTAAAAAGTATTAATTTTCTGAACGAAGATTACGTTGTACTATTTTAAAAAATCTTCAAATCGGTAAAATATAATAAAAATATAATACAGTAATAAATATTTAGTGTGATCTTGGGAGAACAATAAACAACAAAATTCTTATTATTCATTGACATTATTATTCATAGATATTATAAGTTCTTTTTCTTAATTTAATGAATCTTTTTTTCATAGGTAAATTACTTTAATTTTTTAGTTTTAATCAAATTTAATTCCTCAGATCATCTTTTACTAATTTATATATTTACTGTTCTTTTCCTTAGATTTAACGTGGTTGATGACGCCATTAGTTTTTACCTTTATAAAATTTTAACTTTTGTTTATCGATTTGAAGATTTTTTAAAAATAGTACCTTCAGAAAATTAATGTTTGTTAATGGGAATGAACATTTTCCCACGGTTCCTGACAGCAAGTTTTTATATATTTTTATATACTTTTATATATTTTTATATATTTTTGTATTACTATATTATATTTTTACTATATCTTATCGATTTGAAGATTTTTTAAAATAGTACCTTCAGAAAATTAATGGTTTTTAATGGGATTGAACATTTCCCCACGGTTCCTGACAGTATGTTTTCTCTTTCTTCTTTATTTTTCTTATATTTATATGCATACTTTTATATATTTTTGTATTACTATATTATATTTTGACTATATCTTATCGATTTGAAGATTTTTTAAAATAGTACTTTCAGAAAATTAAGTTTTTTTAATGGGATTGAACATTTTCCCACGGTTCTTGACAGTAAGTTTTCTCTTTTTTATTTATTTTTCTTGTATGTGTATATATATTTTTATAAATTTTTATAAATTTTTACATATTTTTATATATTTTTGTATTACTACATTATATTTTTACTATATTTTATCGATTTGAAGTATTTTTAAAATAGTACCTTCAGAAAATTAAGTTTTTTTAATGGGATTGAACATTTTCCCACGGTTCTTGACAGTAAGTTTTCTCTTTTTTATTTATTTTTCTTGTATGTGTATATATATTTTTACAAATTTTTATAAATTTTTACATATTTTTATATATTTTTGTATTACTATATTATATTTTTACTATATCTTATCGATTTGAAGATTTTTTAAAATAGTACCTTCAGAAAATTAATGGTTTTTAATGGGATTGAACATTTTCCCACGGTTCCTGACAGTATGTTTTCTCTTTCTTCTTTATTTTTCTTATATTTATATGCATACTTTTATATATTTTTGTATTAATATATTATATTTTGACTATATCTTATCGATTTGAAGATTTTTTAAAATAGTACCTTCAGAAAATTAATGTTTTTTAATGGGATTGAACATTTTCCCACGGTTCCTGAAAGTATGTTTTCTCTTTCTTCTTTATTTTTCTTATATGTATATACAGGCTGTCCCGTATCTTTCGCATCAGAGCATTATACGGTTGAAGGATGCATTACTCTGAAGCGATTTTTCTAAACCTAAAGACCTAAACCTTAAAAAAATCTGATTTAATTAATAAAATTTAATTTCAAAATTTGAGAGAATGTGTAATGTAATAACATATTTAATATATAATAATAAAATATGGGGATTACCAAATATGAAAATTGGAAAGGAAAATTCCTTTACACTTGAGTTGGGAACATTAAAAAGGTTATAACATTTCCGATATGATTCATAATAAAACACGATTAAATTTTGAATTGGAATTTGAAGGCCATCTCATAATCGCAGCAGTACTATTCATAATTGATGATTAATATGTATATTTTTAATTTTTAATTCCTTATATAAAAAAATGAGTATTTAGAAAATGATATTATTATGAAAGTGGTACAATAACGGGTTGGAAAATTGCGTTGCACTTGAGTTGGGAGGTTCTAAATGTTAAATGGGGCAAATTTGGCATAACGCGTTTAACGGGAGGGCAGTATGGAAGTTTCCTCAGTTTTGTATATCCAAGTTAAATTGAAACAATCAACTAATTAAATTTTTCCCTCCGGTCGAAATTTTGAATTTCCTTCCGTCAGGGTTGCCCCGGAGGCGGTCGCTCTCGCTCTTCATATTGTAATCCTGACATTTCGGGCATCGGATTCTGGGTCTCTTAGCAATTTTATAATAGCAACAAATTTCTGCGCCCAGCTCTAACGCTTGTACGGGCGCGGCTGTTGCTTTTAACTCTGGATAGGGAATAGCTAATCAAAGCTGTTAATATTTAAGCAAAGGTATGTCGTCGTGTCAATTTGCATATTTACTAAAATTTGAATATTTTACCCCGAAATGTCATATAGTTTTAAACTTTTCCTTATCGCGAGTACCAGTTTTTATTTACTTTTCATTTATTTGCTTTCTATTAGTTTGTGTTTACGTCAGTTTTAAATTTTATTTACAATCCTTTTTAAATAAGTATTACGATTTATTTATTTGACTTTATTTTCGTTTATTTGTGATTTTCGAAACTACTCCGATTTATTTCTGTCGAGGCAGGTTCTTAAATTATAAACTTCACAACTTTTGCAAACTCCCCGCTATAGGACTGACCCTTTCAGACGCTGTGCAACTTGGAACTCTTCAATACGACGCGAGAAAATGTCATCATCGTGGGCAAGCTGAACGAGCAAGTTGATTACGCCATGTTGTCGCCGTCTGACAGTCTAACAAAGGAGAAGGAAGAGTGCGCGGAGCTGATGGAGACGATCGGAGATCGGATAAATTCGAGGAATCCGGACTTCATCTCTCATCTCTTATTGTCGATATTTAAAATGGCGGAGGTAGAAATCGTTCAAGTGGAGCCCGTCTCCAAGGCGTCTACGCGACCACAACTAAGCTGCCTCATATTAATTGGGGTCGCATTCACGACTTATAGAAACTTGCGAGGCGTTTCGTGACACAAAAGACTGTAAAAATGCTGTACGTGTAAGCACAATTAAATACATATCGTTTTACAATGAATTAATTGAAAAAAAAGAGAATTAAAAAAAAATTATAAAAGAATTAAACGAAATAAACGTATTTCTGACAAAAAAACAAAACCATGTACATATCATATATATGTTGACTGTTGTTAATGATAACTAACGATTAAAAAAACGTTGTAGAGGATAGTTAGATATGTATATGCTGTAGTGAGTACCGTAAACGTTGCTCAGCTCATATCTGTCCAAACTCACGAGACGACGTTTTCCTTCTAAACCTTTCTTCTTAATTTTAATTATTTAATTTATTTAATAATTTATTAATAAAAAGTTAGGTCCTTTCGCATTCGAGATCATGTACAATCTAAAAATGTCTTCCCAGAGTTATGCTACACCGAATAACTCCGAATGCCGTGACATCTAAACTTATTTTTTAAAACGAAAAAAATATATATAGGCGTTTCCGATGTTGATCTGACAGTCTTTCATTTCGTATACGAACCAACTTCAAAAATAACAAAAATATATATGTGGTGTTACACTTAAGAATGAGCTTAATCGAAAAGTAACTCTCGTTCTATTCACTTTGTAACGCAAAGACTAGATGAGATCAACATACGATCGACGAGGCAAAGAAAGATTGTCTAGGCATACGTAATAAGAATATGCATATCATAATAGCTTTAAATTCAATATTATTTTAAAAAATAATCCTTTAAAACATCGATTAGAAAGATGTTTTGAAGGATTATCATAGTTTGACGATAATTTAAACGATAATTATCGTTTACGTTGAAATCCAAAATAAAATAAAATAAACGACTGACTCACGACATATCGTTCATACAGATAAGTTAAAAAAATAAAAATGAAGAAACATAGTGGTTATTAGCGTTTTACGATGAGAAAATGAACTTAAATAAAGTATATTCAACAAAAAAAATTTGAAAATTAATCGTATTTTCCATTTCCATTGGGACGTACAAAGTTAACGCGTGGAAAGTTTTGGTCGTCAATAAATCCAAATTAAAGTTCACACAAATTAAAAAAAAAATTGTTTATTTTTTTTATTGAATATACTACATACTACATATTCGAATAAATAAACGATGAAATGTCGTTTAAGGAAGCTAATTGTAATAAATAAATCGAGACACGATTACACAAACATACACGTACACACAAACATACAGAAACTGGACCGAAACACATTTGTAGGCCGCACACGATAGGACACGTTGTTAAATAAACACTATATGCTTAATTGTTATATAAAAAATAAAGGAGGAGTATAGTACGCAAGCACGTTTGAACCTGTGAATGATGTAAAATATTATAATAAAAATCCCTTTTGATAGCGAAATATTTTTACAAAAAAAAAATGTTTTATAGTCGTTTTGTTATCGAGCGTGATGAATTAGAGAGCTTCTATAACGTACTTACAACGTAACTGTTTCGTCGTTTCTAAGCTGTTTACCAATTTAAGTAAAGTTGCGTTATTCATTTTGAGACGATTAATATGAATGTCTTAAAACAGAATAAAACAACTCTAAGTAGTGTATTAAAAAAATTAAAAAAATGTATCAATTGCTTCGTAGGTGAAACCCGTCCACGATTTTTGCTTTATCCATTTTTTTTGGTTCTCTCGTGCATGTGTTGTGCTGTAAACGGCGTTTAGTTGTACCACGAGATAAAAAATAAAAAAAATATGTTACTCAATGTAACACCAAATTGTACATTTTAGGGGCGTTCAGTTCAAAGAATTAATAGGGTAATTAGTTTTAACGATCTTAACGATAATTAAGAGAAATCCAGTCGAGGGTTGACTTAGCCAAAAAAAAAATAAAAAAAAGTAATAAACGATCGTCTAGTCTAGTCGAAACCACTTTACAATAGCTTGGAAAACCCCGATGTGCTTCAAATTGCTGTAAAAAACAATACAATAAATGTAAGAGGAACTGTGCTTCATGTCATAGTTAAAATATATTAAACGGTATAAACATTATTCAGTTAAGAGCAATAACGAACGTTTTGAAACAAGGAAACGTTCATTTACGTTTTATGTACTCGATTTCACTATACTTAGATAATATGTGAAATAAAATTGTTATAAAATTATTGGTTTGTTTTAATTTATTACCTATTCGTTAGAATATATTTATATTTCCAATTTTTTTTTCCTGAGTTGTCATGGTGCAGACTTGATGGAAACGTAATACATATATACAGGGTGATTCTCAACCTATATCAGTGTTTCTCAACCCTGCAGTATTCAGCACCTTTCTTTTTCATATAATAATAAAATTTTGGATTTACCACTACTAAAATAAATGAGTTTTTTAAAAAATAAACAATATTTATACTCCAATATATTATATAAATTTATTAACTGTACCGGTTTCGGCCTAGACCATCATCAGGAGTCTCGTTGTATAAGGTTGAGGTTAGAAAATACATTGACACATCTGCTACATCCCCATTCTCATTTTCTAAGTTTAGTCCATTAATGATATATCAAAATTTGAATATAATTGAATGTAAATTTGAATGTCTTTCCTAACCTCAACCTTATACAACGAGACTCCTGACGATGGTCTAGGCCGAAACCGGTAGAGTTAATAAATTTATATAATATATTGGAGTATAAACATTGTTTATTTTTTAAAAAACATATATAATATACCAATATGGATGAAAACCCATTTACCTATTAAAATAAATGAAGAAGAAAGACCTATGTGCGCCATTTGTTTAAAAATTTTGAAATTTTGAATTCTAATAAACTTGGAAACACTTCATTCTTTGAATTAAAATTAAAATTGTATGAAGAGCAAACATCATTCTTCAAAAAAACTGTGTGAACGAAAAAGCTTTACTTGCCTCTTACAAAATATCATATAAAATAGCCAGATGTAAAAAGGCTCACACCATTGGTGAAGACCTTATTGTGCCAGCTGCAATGGAGATTGTAAAAACTATGTTTGGAGATAATTTTGCCAAACAATTGCAATCCATACCTCTTTCAAATAATAATAATAATAATAATATCTTTATTTCCATAGGCTGTACAGTATCAAAAATTGTCATTGCGCTAATGATTACAAAAGATAGTCAGTACAATACGTACTTTCGTCATCTCACAGCGAACATGCACAGCAAAAATACAAAAACAATCACAAAAGGAAACAAAACAAATTACTGCAATTATCTGTCATCGTCGTGGTCCCATTCCGTGTTTAGTAAATATTCCCCCACCGAGTAAAAGCATTTGGATGTAAGGAAGATTTTCAATTTATACTTGAAACGGTTGAAATCAAGCCTCTTAAATGTTATCGGCAAATGATTGTATAAGCGAATCATCATATGTTGAGAGCTATTTTGGGTGAGAGATACTCGGCATTTGGGTATGTACAGGGTGGGCAAATTTGGGTGTTATTATAGGCTATCTCAGAAACTATAAGAGATACGAAAAAAGTAGGTGCCATGTCCCGATCTCTTTTTTCGAGACTAACCCAATCCCGCAAACACCAAACCTCTATCTTCTTTTGTTTTTAAGTTATAGCCAAATTTTCGGGATTTTAGAAAATGCTCATATTTCGTTTATTTTTGAAATTAGAGAAATGGGGTTGATACGTTCTTAAGACACTTTTTTAAGTAGAATATACTGCCGTTGAAAAATTTTAAAAATATTTGCTGATTTTTGAGATACAACACGAAGTTGTATTTTTTTAAATACAAACTATGGTAGATTATGGTGTTACTGAAAAGAGCATATTTTTAGCTTTCCAATGATGTATTACACGCATGGTGTATTTGGGGAAAATAAGCGTTATTTTTTAATTCTAAGATATTAAAGATTAATATTCAAAATTTTAATTATAGTAGGCGAGGAAAACGTTAAATGCCACTTAGTTACTATAGTAACGTGAGTTTACTGATCATTTCATTCATGAATTTTTCGAAACGAGTTTCCCGCTTAAAAATTCCTCATTATCTTTAAATACATAAAGCGATAAAATTAAAAAATGATTCTTTGAAAATGATAGATAAGGCTCCATATCCCATATAAACATCGTTTCAATGGAAAGTCCGATGCCCAGTTTATGATCCCTAATCTTCCTTTATCTCATCCAATTTCAAAAGAAATGGTTGCTAATATGAAAAAACTTCTAAATCTCATGGTTGGGGAAAACTGGGAAGATACTACCGAAGATTTCATTCATTGATACCCTGAACTGTTCTAACCTTACAACCAGTAAGTTTAGTAGAAGAAGATGACACAGTCTGTGACTGTTTAATTCCTGAAGTTGTTGTTCATAAAAATGCAAATACACCATACATGCGATACATCATTGGAAAGCTAAAAATATGCTCTTTTCATTAACATCATAATCAAGTATATTCTACTTAAAAAAGTGCCTTAAGAACGTATCAAAACCATTTCTCTCATTTCAAAAATAAACGAAATATGAGCATTTTTTGAGATCACGAAAATTTGACTTTTTGGCTATAACTTAAAAACAAAAGAAGTTAGAGGTTTGGTGTTTGCGGGATTGGGTTAGTCTCGAAAAAAGAGTCCGGGACATGGCACCTACTTTTTTCGTATCTTTTATAGTTTCTGAGATAGCCTATAATAACACTCAAATTTGCCCACCCTGTACAGATTTCCAGTCTGCCTAGTGGGGTATTGAGTATTTATATCACCACTCCTAGCAAACCATTAGGTGTAGTAAGGTGTTTCTTTACATATAAGAGTGATTGCAGAATATAAACACAAGACATGGTTAATAAGCGATTCTTTCGAAATGATTCCTTACATGATTCATTATAAGACAAATCAAACATCGACCTAATGACTTTCTTCTGGGTCACAAAATGAAAAAAAAAATGATAAAAATGATACTGTTGCAAAAGTTTTTTGGTTCCCTAGATACCCATGAAATTTACTTTCAAATCAAGAATACATATAAGATTTTAAAATAACATCAAAGCAAGTGTTCCAAGTTGTTTTCAATATTTTCTATACACAATTAGGCTAAATCAGGTTGTTGGCGGATTGTCTCGTCAACAGTTTGTATCTGATTTCGCCATCCTTGCTAAGTATTAACTTCCTCAGCTGCAATGTTAAATGCCTGTGTTAACCATCTTCAGTATCAGCCAAGAGGACGGCATTATCTGTATAGCACTCAATCTTGATTTTGTAATCAATAGAACCTATGTAACCATAGTTCCATTCTTTTATCCTTACTTTGTCCAACGTTTTTATGAGATCAACAAAACAGAGGAAGGCTGCCTGACATTTTTTCGCCGGAGTTCTATCTGATTTGCTCTCAACATTGTGTGATCCGTACATGTCATTCTTCATCTCGTTATTAAATTTCGCCATGCATCATTTGTTATCATTTGTAAACGACACACTCAAATGTATATAAACATTTTTTTGCAGAAGGTTAAATAAGTATGGTGGTATCAGTTCTAAACAGATGAGATAGTTTCGTGTTGCTGTGTAAGATGATTTCTGGAAGCAAAGACTGTTGTTATGATAGCGCTGCCTAAACCAGGGTGTTGGCGAATTATCTCGGCTGCAGTTTATATCTGATTTCGCAATCCTTGCTCAATGCTTTTTAAGTGACCCCAAAAATAAAAATCAAAAGGATTGAGGTCAGGCGATCGAGATCTAGATGTCACTGCATATATCAGATATCTAGGAAACTAAAAAACTTTTACTACAATTATATTATACATATATATTATTTTTTTTATATAAATTATAATCACTTTTGAGTAACACCTGCATAAAATTATTTATTTCAAAAATATGTTCTTTCGTCACCGGAAATTCTTTGATATGGAAAGCATTTGCACGGTAAAATGAATCAAAAAATTCCAATTCACTTACGTCCCATCAAGAAGTTATCAGAAATACCAAAAATAGTTAATGTGTGTGGTGTGCAAAATTCTTCCACCAAAAATCGTATAAATACAGCAGAAATCGACGTTTCTAATCAGAAGTGGTTTTAACTTCAAGTTGTAACAATGGAAAGCAAGAAAATGCTCACAATGTTTTTCATTTTGTTGATAAGGTGAGTTGAATTTTAGAAATTATTTTTTTTTAATTTTATTTATTCTCAGCACTTCCGTGTCTTGTGTTAACTTGTTTAACATGACATTTCCTGAAAGTTTTAAATTTGGCGTTGCAACTTCAGCTTATCAAGTTGAAGGTGGTTGGAAGGAAAGTGGTAAAGGAGAAAGCGTATGGGACAGATTTACTCACCAAAAGCCCCATAAAATCAAGGATCATTCTAATGGCGATACGGCGTGCGACTCTTATAAGAAATTTTACGAAGATATCCAGCATATGAAAGAATTGAAGGTTGATTTCTACAAGTTTTCCATCTCGTGGTCTAGAATTTTGCCAAACGGACACATCTCGTTGGTTAACGTTGACGGGGTTCGATATTACAACGAGATAATAGACGAACTTCTTTTGCACGGAATTAAACCTATTGTTACGTTGTTTCATTGGGACTTACCCCAGCCGTTACAAGAAAAAGGCGGATGGTCAAACGACAATTTGATTACGACGTTTGAAGAGTATGCTAATTTGTTATTTTCAATTTACGGAAATAGAGTCGATGATTGGGTTACATTCGATGATCCATTTACTTTATGTTTTGACAATTATTTCCTAAACACTAGCTTTGGCACTAGCTTGATAGAATATGGAAATTCCGGTTTCTTATGCGCCCAAACAGTATTGAAAGCACACGCAAGAGTTTATAAGTTATACGATACCCGTTACAAAGAAAAACAGGGCGGACGCATCGGTATCTCTCTTCTTTCGACGTGGATGGAACCGACCACCCAATCCGAATCTGACAACACAATAAGTGAATTAGCTATGGAAATTGAGGTAATCTTTAAAACATTAAAATTTATTTCATGTAATAATTTATTTATTTAGTTGGGATGGTTTGCTCACCCAATTTTCTCAAAAGAGGGTGGTTATCCTAAAACGGTGTGTAAACAATTAAAGTATTTCAATGATGAGAATCAGATGAAGTACTTCAAAGTACCTGAATTGACTCCAGAAGAGCTTGAGATGGTAAAGGGTAGTTCCGATTTTTTCGGGTTAAATCATTTCGTGACAAAAATATGCAATAGTAGTATCCAGAAGGTCACTGAGCATAATCAGGCACTCGTGGGACCCGACTTTTGTAGCGTAGGTGTACAAACGTACAATGGAACAATTTCCCCGCTAAAAACTGTGCCATGGGGTTTAAGAAAAGTGCTCAATTGGATCAAAAAGGAATACAACAACCCCGAAGTGCTTATAACTGCGAACGGATTCCCCGATTCGGGAGAACGACGAGATTGCGAAAGAGTCCGCTATATTAACGTAATTTCCTCATTTTCTTTATTAACAATGTTTTTAATATTTTTTTGTTTAGTCTTACTTGGAAAACCTTCTCGCTGCCATGCACATGGATGGGTGCAACGTTACTGGTTACACAATTTGGAGTTTACTCGATAATTTCGATTGGTATCATGGATATACGTAAGAAATTTAATTAATAATCAGATTAATCAAAAATAATTACTAAAAATTCTTTATTCAGTCAAAAATACGGCCTTTACCATGTAGATTTTGCAAGTTGGGAGAAAACTAGAACGGCAAAATTTTCATCGCACGTTTATCGCAATATTATCGAAACACGAAAAGTTAATTGGACTTATTCTCAAAAGGATTTCATAATGTGCAAATACGGATTTGCCATCCTAAATGATACGGAAACAGATACGGAAATTATTGCGAAATGAGTTTATTAAAACTATGATGGACCTTACCTATTTATTATTACATATTATATTGTTTCTTATATTATATTATTGATTATTAAATGAAGCAGAAATAAATTATGTGTTTTATTACAATATTTATTTAATTTTATTTTACTTTATCCAATATTTGCTTAGAAAAAAGTGACGTCCTTATGACAACCCTGAGTTTTCGGCCGTCTTAAGAGACGCACGAATGTTTCTGGTTCTAGGTCTAGTATTAATTTTACTTGAATAACAATTGAAACTAGAACTACACTGAGAAAAATAATGTGGGAAAACTACCTAAAATTTAGTCATATTATCTAGAATGTATAGTCAAAAATTAGCTAACTACTACTACTAGTTATATAAACTAATTCTATTTCGATAATTTAAGATAGATAAATGATCGAAAAATGTATCTTATAAATACCTAATAAAATTAGTTTCATTATATAATATTAATAGATGTTTTTACTATTAATATTATTTTTATTATTAATGGTAGTAGATAGCTTTATTACTTAAATATAGACGTCGTACCTAAATTTTTGTGTTAAGATATATTTTCTATTAACGATCGATGTAACGATGAAAACAGGTAGACAAAACGACTAAAATACATTTAAATAAAGTATTTAATAATAGTATATTTGTCCATTTAGGTAAAATATTTCATTATTAAATGTATATAGATATTCAGACTAGAACAAAATACCAAATACTTTAGGTAACTAAACTACTCAACAACTAGACTTATCAACTAGTTTCCACGATGTAGTTTCTTTTTCTAAAAATTAGTTATATCACCTCAGTAAATAGATAAATTAACTATCATAAATTTGACTAATTAGAATTGTATATGTCAGCTAAATTACGTTAGGTAAATGAATAAATTTTCTAGCATAAATGACTAACAACTAAATTGATTTAGTTCAATTTTCCATATCATTTTTCTCAGTGTAACAGAAGACTTAGAACTAGAAACATTCGGGTTTAGACGCACGTCTCTCAAGACGGCTAAACCCGGATGATTCTAGTTCTTAGTCTTGTGTTAGTTCTAGTGATAGTGTAAAACTAGAACTAACACTAAACCTAGAACTAAAATCATTCGGGTTTAGCCGTCTTGAGAGACGTGCGGCTAAACCCGAATGATTTTAGTTCTAGGCTTAGTGTTAGTTCTAGTTTTAGTTCAATAAAAATATGCAACATAATGATTTCTATGGAAATATTTTTTTTGTATATTGCATTTTAAGTGAAATTCATTATATATAGTATTCCGCTAAGTTCTTAACTTTACCCAACATCTTTTTACCCGGGAGTTATTGACCCTAGTAAACAAAACTAACCTATCCCAACATTTTTTAAAGTTGAATTAATAATCTCAGCCATATCACAAACAATACTTATATCTGAAATTATTTGTTTTGATATCAGAAATATTCTTAGCCGACATGGTGGCCCATGGCACATAAGAATATATCTATTATAATACCATGTCTCAACCTAAACCATTTCAAAATAATTACAGAAACCTGTAAGTATAAAATACAACTATTAAAAAAATGGATTATAGACAACCAAACATACAAAATCGATTCTAACCTAGAAAAAATCCTTAACACGTCATAATCGAGTTAATTATCGTATTAATTTAATTAAAACAACGGAAGGTTATAATAAGAAATGTTCTATTTTTGGGGATATTTATCTAGTGACTTTTAATTGGGTTGGTACCGTTGCCATCAGCTGTTTTCTTGCAAGTGTCTTTGGTAAAAAAAGTGTCGCCGAGTATTCTAAATAAAATGCGGAGAAAATTGTGCCGGAAAACCACGCCGATGTAACAAAAATAGAGTAAAGAAGTATAAAAAGTGATTTAAAGTGTGAGTAACCATCGAAACGTGTTCTTTAAACTACAAAATCATAAAGTGTATACCTGAAATTTCTTTTTCTTTTGGGGCGTCCTCAAAAAAAAATCTTTGTTTGGTCTGGTTTTACACTTTAATTTATTATTATTTATTTTGTCCAAAAACGTTAGGCTCTGTTTATTTTATATTTCCCTTTTTTTTTTAATGTATTTGTTTTGTATTTATGAACATGTGTTTTAAATATTATACAGGGTGAGTCATAATGAATGATTAATTAGTATTAAAGATCAAACTGCTTAAAACTTTTTTCTAAACAATTTTTATTTTTAGAATTTTTTAAAAATGGAACTCTCGCATAGTTTAACATTAAATGAGGAGGCTTTGGCCCAAATTCCACCTGCAAAAAGACCTGTGTTTATATTCGAATGGCTACGATTTTTAGATAAAGTTCTTGTTGCTGCCCAAAAGGTAAATATAGTCTTCGAAGTCATTATTTCCTATTTCAAAAGACATACACTCTTTTAACATTAATTACCTCTTCTTCATACAGAATGATATAAAAGGGTGTCAAAAAAAATTGGTGGAGCAATTAATGAATCATCTCCAAGAATCTCCTGGTCCACCAACTCGTAAATTAATAGCAAGAAGTCTTGCTACATTATTCTCAGTAGGAGATACATTTTTATTATTCGATACGGTTAATAAGTGTAATGATATTTTAAAAAATAAGGATGATTCTCCAAGTTTCTTGCCAACAAAATTGTAAGTAGATGAGGGAGTTTGATCCATGTTGACCAGTTACTGGTCTTTTTCAATTTATTGCCTAACCGGTTTCGGGTTACGCCATCATCAGACACATTAGAAATATAAATTAGATTTTAGCAACTTATTTTCCACTTAGTTGTTCATATAAACAGCTTCACAAAGGTATACAAGTTAAAATTACAAATCTCTCATGTTAACTCGTGTTAAAAGTTAAAATATAAAACTTGGATTGACAGGCACTGAGTGCCTCTGATGATGGCGTAAGCCGAAACCGGTTAGATAATAAATTGAAAAAGACCAAAAAAAGTATTGCTTTTTATTGAATTTATATTATATAAAATTATAAGTAACAATAAAATATTCAATAACATAATTCTAAATAATTGTTTTTGATTTAGAGCTGCAATATGTTGTGTGGGAACGATGTACGAGAAATTGGGTCGAATGATGGGACGCTCGTACGAAGAAACGGTTCAAATTTTAATAAGATCATTAAAAAGTGCCGAATCACAAACGCGAATTGAAATCATGTTAACTTTGGAAAAAGTTTGCGCTGGAATGGGGTCGGCTATATCAAACTCGCATAAAGAAATTTATAAAGCGGCGAGAACTTGTCTGATCGATAGAGTTATGGCTGTGCGTTGCGCCGCGACGAGATGTCTTCTCGAAATGTTAAATCACGCCCCGTTTCTTTACACCACCGAACTAGAAAGTTTAGCAACGCTTTGTTTTCGATCATTTGATGGATCTAATTATGAAGTTCGTTGCTCTGGAGCTAAACTTTTAGGCGCACTTATCGCAATGACACAACAAAATCAAAAAGCGAACCAAACATCTCAATTACAATTAAAAGGATTGAAATTAGTTTCATTGGAGGAAGCCTTAGGTATTTTAATGTCCGGATTCCTACGTGGCGGCGTTGGTTTTCTCAAAGGAACCGGCGAAATAATTAAAGGAAGTTCCGGCGTTAATCGTGAAGTCCGAGTTGGAGTAACCCACGCTTACGTGACATTCGTTGCGATATTAGGGAGCGTTTGGTTAGAACGCAACATGAAATCACTTTTAAACCACGTCCTGTATCTAGTTGCTAACCCAAAAGTGGGGTCGTCTCACGTTGACGCCGTTTATTCGCGGAAATGTATCAATTTCATACTGAGAAGTGTTTTGGGCAAGATGTTGGGCGAGAAAGCGCAAACTTTAGCTTGTAAAGAGATTGCCCAAATTGTGGTCAAAGAAATGACCACCATCGATTTTAACCCGGAAAATGCTAAGGATTTGAATCAAGAAACTTTATTTAGTCAACATTTACTTGTTTGTGCTTTACAAGAAATTGGGAGTTTAATTTTGAGTTTAGGAACTACAGCTCATGATCTTATTACTGATCAATCATTAAGTATGTATTTTTTTAATACAGAAAAACCTTGATATACACTGTTGGAAATAATTCGCAAGCACACCATGTATAATCTGAACGCGTGTGTCTAACGCAATGAAATTTGGCATGGAAGTAATACTAAAGTAGTGTAACTTACGCTCATATGGAGAAGGGCGCAATTCTGCTGGGAGGGGATACATCAATAGTGAGAGTATCCCCCGTGAGCAGCGCATATCATCGCTACACGACGTGGCATGGAGTCTCCATAGCGACGGAATGTTCCACTTGAAAGGGAGGTTCAGTCAACAATGCCGCGACAAAAAAACTTGAAACTCGCTGAATAAACTCGTCTACAGTAAACCTTCCGCAATTTTTTTTTTATTTCTTTATGTAGGTAAGATAAAGGCGCGACGTAATGTCTGGGACGCACCATCTGTTCCGATTGGACGAAACCCTCCTCTCCCCACATAGCTTATTTCTGTTTCTCTTTAATTTGTAATTCCATTAAATCGCTCTTAAAAAATTAGGGAGTCCTAATTTTGAAAAACTGATAACGGAATCCGAAAACCGATATTATTTGACATATTTTGGTAAAAACCGCGTTGAAATTCGCCAGGTCGTTTTCGAAATAACCGCATCCTACTAAACCGCGATTTTCCGCGAAACTACATGGAATATCGAAAAAATAAAATATGCCCCACATTAAGAACACATCGGTTTACCACTAATTCAAATTTGAAATTTTTTCAATTAATAAATAAATATTTACTTAGTCAATATTGCTGGTATTCTCAAAAATCGGGCGGACCCGAAAATTTCCAAATTAACATGTGATACGCAGAAATGTTCACTGATTAGAATAAACTTGACCGCAATTTTGTCAATTACTGTTGTTGAAAGTAATCTTTCATTTTGTTATTGTATAGGGCTGGCCTCTTTTCAGTTAGTAATATAAGTTTTTCACAGTCAATGACGCTTTTTACTGTCGTATCTTCAGAGTGAGACATCTTAACTTGTTGAAACACGTTCAATTATGCGGATAACCAACAGCTCGTAATTCTTCGGTGGATTCCGCAATAATTCGGTACAGACGCACGATAAAAAAATCACAAATGCGTGTAAACTCATGCTTTTGAGAATAATTCGTTTTTACTCGGCGACAATCGCGTCGCAGAAATATAGAACCGGTTGTATCTAGAAGCGCTTTATATTTGCGACAAAAAAAATCGATCGACACAAAGTCGTAGTGCGCGCAAATATTTATTATATTACGTTCAGATTATACAGGTGTGCTCGTGAATTATTTCCAACAGTGTAATACACCTCCCATAACAAATATTTTATTTAAATTATTATTATTTAAAGAATTAGTTGATGGTGTCGTTGGGGTTTTAACCCATCCATGTCAAGCAGCGAGATTAGCAGCTGCTTGGTGTTTACGATGTATCTGCGTAGCCGTTCCGAGTCAAAACACACCATTAATTGATCGATTTGTTAATGGAATTGAAGATTTAAGAACTTCGCCCGAAGCAATAGCAGGTTGTTAAAATTAAAAATTATTAAATAAAAAAAAATATTTCCTTTATATATTTCGAAGGTTACAGCGGTGCTTTAGCAGCAGTTCTAGGTGGTATTCGTTTATCACCATTAGGTGTTCCTCATACAAAAGGAAAAGTAATTTTTAATACTGCCGAAGAACTTCTACGAAGCGCGAGTCAAAATAGCCGATTATCGTTGAATCGTACTCAAGCTGGGTGGCTTTTAATTGGGGCGATTATGACACTGGGAGTTCCGGTTGTAAGAGGTTTATTACCGCGAATGTTATTGCTATGGCGAAATTCATTTCCGCGATCCAACAAAGAGCTAGATTCGGAAAAAGCACGCGGAGATGCTTTTACTTGGCAAGTAACTTTAGAAGGACGAGCTGGAGCTTTGTCAGCTATGCATTCGTTTTTATATAATTGCCCAGAATTAGTTACTGAAGATATTATTAGAAGATTATTGACTCCGATTGAATCAGCTTTAGCGATGTTAACAAAGTTAGTTACTTCTTAATAAGATAAGAAGTAATTTTGATCATATTTTTTTAGTATTTCAGTTGTTTTAAAAAATTATGGTCAACCGTTAAAAGCCCCATCCGCTATGGTTAGATTAAGATTATACGAAACTTTAATGTTACTTCCGCCGCAATCATTTGAAGGTAAATTTTATTCCTTTTATTATTAGTTTTAATTTAATTTATTACTTTAGGTTCTTACACTCATTTATTAAGAATGTTGGTCGCTGAATTTACTTTGACCGAAAATCAAGCGAATACAACGACTTCCCAATTGAGGACGATGTGCCATGCTGATGACTCAGTAATTTTGGGAACTTGGTTGCAAGAAACTGATCACAGGACGATTGAGGATCAGGTGTGTTTAATTTTCTTTAATTAAAATTTTAAATCTTCCAAATTAATTCGATTCGCAAAAAAATAAAAAAGGCGTTTTTTCTTAAGAAGATTTAAACGTTGATTGCTTTCTGTAGATGGAACCTAATAGAAGAGCTGACGGCGAACATGTGAGTAAAAAGTGCTGTCAGAAGAAGTAGGCTTTGTGGTTTTATTTAAATTTTTATTTATTTTAAAACATTTTTTTTTCCTTTAATTTCAAAAACTGTATCAAAAAAAATTTTTATTTCTATTTCAGCTCCAACCAAATAGCGCAGCCGGATCTGGGGCTTTAGAACACGATCCTTGTTGTCTTTATCGAGTTTTACTACCCGTAAGATAGTAAATCTAAAAATCTAAACAAATTTGAATAACAAAATTTTTTTTTAAGGGAGAATTATCCCCCGGTCCGCTTCCACTTGGCGTAGCTGTAATCGACGCTTCCGTTTTACTATTCGGTCAAATCTTTCCAAGAGTTGCCAATAAACACCGCCTGCAAATGCTTGATCATTTCTCCGAATGCATAAAACACGCAAAAAGTTCGCGACAGGAAGCTGTCCAAATGAACGTTTTCACCGCGTTGTTGAGTGGTTTAAAAGGCCTAACCGAGGCTAAAATGAGTTTTGGTCAAGAAGATGTGAAAAAAGCCGCCGCTAATTTAATAATAGGCGCTTTAACGTCGAGCAATCCAATTTTACGTTGTGCATCCGGTGAAGCGGTTGGAAGGATGGCCCAAGTTGTTTCCGATCCACGATTTACAGCAGAACTTGCTCAAACAAGTTTCGATCGGCTAAAATCCGCCAGAGATGTCGCTAGTAGAACCGGACATTCTTTAGCTTTGGGTTGTTTACATCGTTACGTCGGTGGAATGGGTTCTAGTCAACATTTAAATACAAGCGTTTCGATTTTATTAGCTTTAGCTCAAGATCAAACATCTCCTGTCGTTCAAGTTTGGTCATTACATGCTTTGGCTTTAATAGCAGACTCTGGAGGTCCTATGTTTAGAGGATATGTTGAGCCGAGTTTATCGTTAGCTTTAAAATTGTTACTAAATGTTCCTCAATCCTATATTGATGTTCATCAATGCATAGGAAAAGTGTTGTCTGCTTTAATAACTACAATCGGACCGGAATTACAAGGAAATACTACAACGATTTCTATGGCTCGATCTTCATTCCTTTGTGCTTGCGCAATCATGCAAGATCATCAAGACGCTTTGGTACAAGCGGAGGCAACTGGGTGTTTACAACAATTACATTTATTTGCTCCAAAACACGTTAATTTATCTTCATTAGTTCCTATGTTATGTAGAACTTTGTCAAGTAATCATTTATTGTTAAGAAAAGCGGCGATTTCTTGTTTGAGGCAATTAGCTCAACGAGAAGCTAAAGAAGTTTGTGAACATGCAATGACATTAGCAAGTGAAAGTAGGGATACGAATACCGTTGAAGGTTTATTGATTACTGAAACCGGATTACCTGGTGTTTTATTTAGCATGTTAGACACAGAAACCGATGCAAGTTTAATTAAAGATATTCACGATACATTAACAAGCATGTTACAAATGTTAGCGGCAGATAATTTATCGCAATGGTTGGATTTATGTAAAGATGTTTTGACTGTTGCAACTGATACGAATAATCCAGAAGATCAAGTTAGCGTTGCCGTAGATGTTGAAGATGCAGAAGTTGAAAGTGATGATCAAGAAGAATTCCATGCCGAAGACGAAAGTTCACATCCGGCGGTGCAACCGCGGTGGCCAACACGAGTTTTTGCTGCAGAATGTGTGAGAAGAATTATAGTAGCTTGTGAAACAAATAAAAATGGTCATTTTGATCTTGCTCAAGCGAAAGAATTACAAACAGCGAAAGGAAAGGGTGATTATTTAGTTTTACACCTTTCCGATTTAATACGAATGGCATTTATCGCTGCAACGAGCGATTCAGATCCTTTAAGACTCGAAGGATTAAAAACATTACAAGAAGTCATTGAAAAATTCGCTAAAGTTCCCGAACCAGAATTTCCGGGCCATTTACTCCTCGAACAATTTCAAGCGCAGGTTGGGGCCGCGTTACGTCCAGCTTTTTCACCCGAAACATCATCTCACGTTACAGCGGCCGCTTGTGAGGTTTGTTCAACATGGATTGGGTCAAGTGTGGCGAGAGATTTAAATGATTTAAGACGCGTCCATCAACTTTTAGTATCATCATTAGCAAAGCTGTTAGTTAAGACAAATACTATGCAATTATATAACGAAAGTTTAGCTACACTTGAAAAATTAGCCATATTAAAAGCTTGGGCAGAAGTTTATATTGTAGCTATGAACGAAAATGGTTCTGATCCATCATCATTAGATTTAGATGTCCATTCCTCGAGTACTTTTGATGATGAATTTGGGGATTTTGCATATCGTGGTGAAAGTTTATTGACTCTAGTTCAACCTGAATTGATAAGTTTAGCTCAACATTGGTTGGCGGCGTTAAGGGATCACGCGTTACTTTCGTTACCAGCGGAATTTGCCAGTCAATTACCTCACGATGGGGGAGCATTTTATACAAACGACACAATGGAATCATCAAGACCACATTACGTATCATCTTGGCCGCCAATTTTACACGCTGCGGCTCTTTGGATAAATTCTGGGTTTAAAAATGGAAGTTCCGATAATGATAACGCAAATAATTTAAATAATAACCAAAATTCAAGTGAGAAGTTTCATTTACTTTTTGGAATTTGTATGGAAGCTTTGTGTAGTCCAAGATCGACTGAGCCTTTGGAAAGTATTGTAACTTGTTTGAGAGCTCTTTATACTTTGTTAGATTCTACGTGGGCAAGGGAATTATTAACGATAAATAAATCGTTAGGGATTGAATTATGTAATGTTTTACATAGATTAATTCTTACGAGAGATAATAATACGGCTCAGTTGATGTGTATGAAAGTTTTGAAACAAATTATAAAAGCCGCTCAAGAACATATCGATGGTATTAAAAAGAAGAAACTTCGCGAAATCGCTCCGGTTAATCAAGAACCTAGCAGTACTTTAGAAATTGATTTATTAGGTGAAGGAGGTGATACGGGAGAAATAACACCAGGAAATTCCTTAGTTTTTGCTGTTTTAGAAGTTTGTCTTTGTTTAATCGTTAGACATATTCCTACATTAAGCCCGATGCCAAATTGTACAATGATGACATCTCTTCGTATTTCTCAATCGCACGAAGAATCGAGCAAATTAGTTTCAACGTCCGTTGCAAGCATGGAGTGCTTACATAAATTGTGTTCTCCAAAAGGTGCCATAGCAATACTACCCACCATTTTATACCTTACCACCGGAATTATTAAAGAAATGGCCACTAAAGATATTAACGAACCCACAGTTCTCGCTTACAATCCAGCCGTTCAATCCGCGTTACATTGTTTACAAGTTTTATGTACCGATCGTTATTGTTGCGATGAATACGTCGGGGAAGAATGGCAAAAACTGTTACAGAGCGCTTTAGCTAAAATCATCGATTTAGCTAAAACTGGAAGTGACGAGATGAAACTAGACGAAGTCACTATGATGTTTGCTATAGCCGTTTTTGTTTTAAATTCGCCATCCAAAGTTGTTTCAGCACCAAACTTGCAATATCCTTGTATTAATCATTTTCGACAATGTTTACAAAGTTCTAATTCAACGGTAAGTAAATATGTTATAACTATTATTATTATATTAACATTATTGATTTAGATTCGTTTAAAATGTGTTCAAACACTCCGATCAATTTTTTCGCATAACGACAAAGGTATATCAACGGCTTACATTCAAGCTTTAGTTCCCCGACTTGTCGAATATTTATATTCGGATGCCGCAAGAACCATAACGACAGACGGCGAACTGTCGGTTACTTTAGAAACAATCGTTACCGTTGAATCACTTATTGGATTGGCTGAACCGCAAAATCGTAAGTAATTAGCATGTGGTGTTGTTGTGAATGTTAACTAATTAAAACTTTTTGAATCCGCTTTAAACAGGGGATATTTTACAAGGCAAGTTTTTCCCCTTTAATAATTTTTGTTGTTTTAATATATTTAAATAAAAATTTTATGATTTCTATTTTTTTTAGGGATACAAATGTTAATGTTGCTTATTCCGATTTTAATAAACTTCCTTTTGGAAGGACAAGCGTTAAGATCGGCTAGTAAACATTCGAAAATGCTACACGAATCTAGTTTGCAATGGTTGATGAAAATAGGACCAAAATATCCCCAAGAGTTCAAAAAATTAATGAACCAATCAAGTGAGTTGAAGTTGAAATTAGAAAACGCAATTCGTTTCAGCCAACAACACACAATGAAAAAGAAGCAAGAAACGAACTCTGCTCAACAGACTGTGAGTCAAGCTCCGACGATTAAACTTAAAACTGATTTTAGTAACTTCTCCTAAACGTACTTCCGTTAATAATTTTTTTATTCTAATTCGAAACGCATTTATTTTGTATATACCTAAAATATTTAAGTATTATAAGTTGATAAGTTCGAATATATTTTGTATAGTTAATACTTAAATTCACACCTCTATGCAGAGCAATAATTAATAATTCTTAAATTTTTGCTTTATTTTGTATTTGGCATGATTATTAATATTTGTCATGTAGATGAATGTTTAGTATTGAATTAGTATTGTGTATATAGTGGTAAATGTAATTTTTAGAAATCAATTATTTCTCTGTACCTAATTAATATTCATATTTTTTATTTATCAGATATAAGTTGTTTGTAAATAAAAAAATAGACGTTATCCTGTATTATTAATAACTCACAATGATGTGTTTTAATTTACCTTTCTATTCAAAAAGAAAGCTTATAAAAAATGATTCAAACAGTTTAAGAATATTTAGAAGATAATACATGTAATATATCGATAAAAAAATAAAATACGGTTTTATTGTGTACAGATTGTTTATTTCTGAGTGCCTCTAAAATTACTAATGAGAAAAATGGGGAGATTTTCATCAATACACATTAAACAGATGTCCGTAAAGTATCCGAGTACTACTTAGATTTTACAAATTAGTTTAAAAAATAATATAATACAATCTAATAAAGTTACAATAATAATAATAAATTAGGAATTTTTACACGCGCGGATGTTTTTTTATTTTAAGGGGTTATGTGGGAAATTGCACGTTCACGCTTTTAAATTTGAGATACTCCGACATCGCGATACAGAGATACTCTAAAAACACCTGTGTAGGGAGAGGGACATCGCAAAGAAACGGTTTTTTAAGAAACTGTCATTTTTTTATGTGTTTAATGTTTTTTAAGTTATTTGTTATACGAAGGATACAGTTAAATTAAAATTGGCTATGGTTGACGTGAATATCGGTATAAACATTTTCTGCCAAATAAATTTTTAGCAGAACATGTGAAAACAATAAAATTGCAATTTATTTATTTCGCAATTATATTGTATTGTATACCTTCTTTTACAAGAGTGGAATGTCGTGTAATTCGGTAAAATTATCGTAAACATGACATACAATTCGTATAAAAAATAAATTTTTTATGAAATTAAAAAATTACTCTATCAAAGGGTTGTTTTAATGGATGTCATGGTTACTCGAGAGCGTAAGTATGAAAAGTTATAAGTTGATAAGTAGTAAGTAATATAAGTAAAGGTGCACACGTACACTCCACTTCTTTTGAAATATTTCAGAATGTACGTGACGCTAAATCAAAATTTCATGTTTAAAGCCGCGGAAAGTTGTAGTTTTTCGAAGGACGGAGTAAATAATACGAGAATGGTAACAGAATTCCTTTAACGTCACGTAGATTCGTCATTGCGCAAAGCAAGAAAATGGTCATTCGAAAAAATATATATATAGTAAATAAGGGTTCTGTTACAGGCAACATAAATATTAAAAACAAACGAAGCGATATCTAACATTGATTCTATGTGGGTCTAAGTGTAACCCAGTCTTACTGGCTTTATCACTAAGGCTACTTATGTAGGAAAAACTTCCGGTAGGAAAGGAGGAATGAAAAACATCGATACAAAAAGGTCCTTAACGTGGTCCGGCGCACGTAAAATGGCAAGAGTCCGTTTAAGTACATCGATTAATGAACGACATTTAATACTGCAAAGGAAACTTTTGCACACCGTAGTTTGCAACGAATTCGGTTTTGGCCCCAATACTGTGTATGGTGCGAAAGGTAAATGGGTCTCGTCTGTTCTTTTATTCCTTATTATTATTATTTTTTTTTTAGTATTTTTATTTTTACAGTTTACGGATAGTCTTACGTTAATATTTTGACCAGACATCGATACACAGTTTATGTATATGTTATTAACAAAATTTTGAATATTAATATTTTATAAAACACCTAAACATTTCATTATATTGACTTATCAATAGCATTTGAGATATCAATCAACAAAAATTCAATTTTAGTTTTAGGTCACTTTCATTATTTTAATCAATTAAGTATCTATACAGTTGAGATAGCGCAGATTTGTTCATAATGAATATCTTTTATGATAGTAGAGGATATAAAAGTATGTAAGCATAATACAGTCAGGAGTTATGATTAAGAAATAAAACGGGCCGTTAGTGATGAAAGTGCGAGAAATTGCGGACTTATTACTGAATAATGGGAAGAATTGATACTAATAAATGTTGGTTCTGTATACACAGGGGACTTATTTGTAATACTTAAAGGTGGGTTGAGTTTAGAGAGACTCTGCCGCGATTGATATCGGGTTAACAATGCATTGGCATACTATAAGAAGACCAGCTTCACAAAACGCTTTATTCTGAAATTAACATTACTATATGGATAGTGACCAACCCGAATTAATAAATGAAAAAGATTAGATTGAGAAATTAAAACATAATCATTGTTTCAATCTCAAACGTATTGACACCCCCAATTTAGGCAAATTAATAAAATCCCTAAGCACTCCATAAAATAATAATATTCGGTACTCTGTCTTTAACATATACAATACAAAAAACATGACGTCAAACACTACCGCTCGTAAGGGGTAAAATAAATGCATCTTCTCCGTATTAAAATACAGCACACAGATATACAATAAATATAAATAGTGTGACTGGTATCAATGTTAATGTTTATCGTTTACGATTACTATACTCATATAAAATTTAAATATCCGTGTACTTATAATAATACTTTTGACGTTCTCTTAGCCCGTAAATCAACGCGCAATTTTTACACATAATACGTCTTAAGACAATACCTTAAGATGTTATCTCCAATTAGTACATTGAACATATAGAAGCGTTTTATGACTATTATACGAGAACACTGCGGGATTTTGGGGTAGCGATACATTTTAACCCTATAACGATCGTTGTTATTCAAAAACAAGATCTAAAATGGGTTAAATTGTTTCGCACATCGATTTACGGACTTAAAACGAGCACGAATTAAACAAACTAAAAAGCGCGTCTTGTTTTTCCGACCTTAAACGTTTTTTTTACAAGTCCGTCGACGTTAAATATCACACCAGCGTAATACCGCTGAAACAAATTCGTTAGCACTGTCACTGTAATACTAGCGATAGTAGTGTAGTAGTGTCGCTGGTAATATAGTTAAACTACTATATACAAAATTAAAAAGAATAAACGCACTGAACTCCGTCTTCCGGTGCGCGGCGCACCCCTAAACCCATCGACTCGCACTTTAAATAATTTACAGTTCATTTTTTCATTGTTTTCTTCTTTTTTTTTACTTCGATACTTTACAGGTACGTGTCGACGCGTCGGGACGCGCCTCCTCTTCCTCCTCCACCGCCCCTCGTTCACCGCCATCTGATCACCGCTATACAGGCGGCGACCACTAAAAAGCCCGGCGGTCCAGATGTCAACCAGACACCACTGGAGTATGTTAACTCCTCGTTTTTTACCACTTCATTGGGGCGCTTGTCATATTCGGCTAAAACAATAGGAAAAAAAATTAATACAATAATAGGTATTTTGATATCAAGGCTGCAAAATTATATGCTTTGTATGCTACCAACTCATAGATGGCGCGAGATAGAAATTTATTACATAAAATTAGTAGTTTTAATAAAAAATATTAATTACATATTTTCTTTGTCGGTTTTCGTGTAGATGTAGGCTCCGTTCGAGGTATATATAACGTGGTGGGTTGAGTAGATGTAAGTCCTATCGTGGATCTGTGGGGCCAAATCATGCCGGGGGTGGTAGAACTTGGTAGTCTGGCGGTGGTGCTATTCTGCATTTCGTCGGGTGCACAACAAACCTTGAAGACGATCTTCATATTGTTGGTGGAGCACCTGCCGCCGATCCTACGATGCAGGTCCTCCTTCGATGACGTGGCTTTAAAAGCAAAGAAAAAAAGAATAAATTTAGAATTTCGTTGTTATTCAATAACTACAAGTAACATTAGTAATTTGACGTTTCGCACGTAACGTAAATTAACGGTAAGTAAATTATCGGTACGAGGAACGCATCGGTGTGTGTATTTTTTTATTTCTTTGAGTTATCTTGATTCTTTGGCGGAGTATGAATCCCCGCCGTACAATGGCCGTCTCTTTTTTTGTGTTATTTTTCTTCAGCCCGGGTCCTGTTTGCAATAACAAGAATAAAAATTATGAGAGCCTCACATGAGAGGAGGAATTTCGAGGGAGCAGACCACTTAAGATGAATCTGCAGTCAAATATCTCCTCGTGCGGAGCGGTACGTCGGACAATAAGCAGATAATTTCGGTCATATTTCACAATTTTAACTCGGAACCGCGCCGAGACTTTGAAACATCCTCTGCTAGCTGATCAGCTGCCGTCGCTTTACTTTATTTTCCAACGAAACGGGTTCTCTCTCTTCGAGACTTAAACACACTTAGAGCCTATTATTTACCCGTTTACAATACGCAAACCCGTTTAAAATGGCATTTCATACCCCAAAAAATAAAAAATACATATATATATATATATTCACCACGCTAATGATTCATATTTCCCAATGACTTATCTGTTTGGACTGTTTTGACTCATCATATTTTACGTAAAGTGTAAATGTAAAATTGAAAAGTGAAAAGATTTAAAATGTGCTTACATATGAAGTAGTAATCCTTGCCGGGTAAGAACTCTAATCCGCCCGGTTGAGGTGTAAAGGGCCTGAACGTGATGGTGAAATACATCAATTTGTGCGGCTTGTCGCACACGGCAATAATTCTCGGATTTGGATTCGTTATCCTGCAGGTCTCGTATTCTTCCTTCGACACGTTGTAGATGATGTACTTCTCGGCGTCCTCGTCGTAACCGGGCATGTAGACCGGGCAAATGATGTTGACCTGGTCGTACTCGAACTGCAGGTTGCCCTTGTTGACGTCGATTATGTGGTCCGTGTTGTCGATCCGGAATCTGAAAGCAAGAAAATTTAAGAAAAAAAAGAAAAAGATTTTAAAGAAAAATGTTTTACTAACGAGGGCGCACGCGGTATGGTTTCTACTACGTCGGACGTTAACATGTAGTTCGATTCGAAATGAGTCTTGCGCATATTTCTGAACGTAGCTTTATTGTGTCTACCTTAAATTACTCATAACGCGCTCGTTCCCATGTAATGCTCATTGAAATTGCTCGAGTATGTACGCACCGTCGATGGAATCGAGGTCTAGTCGAGGCCCCACGCGATAGATTTATTCCGTAATTAAAATCTCGGAACTTATTTATTATAGAACTCGAACGGGAGAACGGCTTTTACGACGTCGTCGCCACAATTAAAATACGTTACGGGAAAATGGACTACAATGGAGAGAGAGCAACAGGTGTTATGTAGATTCGGTTCGATAAACTAAACTACCGAGAGTTGAAATGATTCCATATGATTCGGAATGATTAAACAAAGCGTTTTAATCGAATACAATTAATTAAAGCCGTTAGGATTGAAATAATGTTATTCAAATTCAAGGGATTTCTTGTTGACGATGGAACCCACCTTAAAGACAATTAGATCTGAATCCGTTCGGCAATTAGGTATTTGCTAGAACGAGATAGTCCCGTGTCCGAATATAATACATATTCATGGAATGGCGTAACGGGCGTTCCCCGGTCATTAATTTCAAGAATTCGGAATTGTAAGGGGCGACTTCTTGTGCGCCTGCTCGCGCACAACCGCTTCCGGTACTTAATCACAGGACTTATCCGCTCCTAGGACAACGTAAACTTTTCAATCGGACGCCTCCGAGCCGGAAAATGCCCTCTCGTCGACCTCCTCGGTGCCACCCGAGCGACGCCGCGAGCAGGTGAAAATTGCGATCGCTAACAGCCTATAGTTGTAATTGCACCTTGGGAAGATATATGGCTGCTTTGTTACCATATACTATAATTTTCTTCTTACATTCGCAATCGTACGACCGCAATTTAGACAGAAAACCGTGTCCCGCAGATATTTCCGTGAGCCTACGTTATATAATTTCATTAGGGAGTTTATAGCCCGTATATACCTACCTAGTATCGCGATAATATTTTAAATCGTAAAACTCACACGACGATGTTTGCCTTTAACCGACGTCTTTAGTAAACGTCGACGTTCGCCGTCGCCGTCGTCGTTTTCGCGATCCGATATAATAAACCGCGATTTGCGCTCGTGCTGGGCTAAAAACTAAAATTACGCCAAGACTTGTATTAATTAAACACCTCGCCTGTTTCCCTTTTAAAAGCCGCCACTCGCTTCCGACCTCACGGCCCGTAATTAAACACGCCCCCAAACAACACTTTACATTAATTAATGTCTCTAAGTGCGTTTTAGGGGGAGAAATTATTAATTGAAATTTCCTACTGCACGAACGACGACTTATAGATTAAATCGCTTTGTACCGCGGAATTAATACAACTTCACATAACCTACCGACCTTATTCTTACTTTATCCAAAATCGCGCATGCGCAATACTACAATACATTTTTATATATAAAGCTTCATAACCTCAAAATTAATCAACACATTCATTGCAAGATTTTATCTGGATAAAGTGATATGGTCTGTTCTAAGTTTAGCCGAGGCTTCACATTTGGGGGGTCGCAATTAATCGCAAAGCCACGATTAAGACGTCATCTATGTATTGTAACATCTGCGTTCGTTAATATCATCGTTGACATAAAAAAATTTTATACTGATTCCTGTAGTTAAAAAATTTGGATATACAAAAGTCATAACAATTATGTGGACGCAAAGCTACCGTGCCGGTAATACACACAAAATAGAAAGAAAATGTGTGGTGATACACCCTCACTGAAGCAAGTTAATAAATAAAGTTATTTCTGTAATTACAAAATGTAGATATCTGGGAGCAGTGGTAAAATTGTCTTTCAGGCAGATAGAAATTCCCGAGTGGTAATACGTGCGAGAATTGAATAAAAATAAAAGAAGATACATGTGCAAGCGAGAGAGCGGTGAGGCCAGGTGGGAGGGCATCGAGAGGCGAGGCAAGTAAAGGAAAGGAAAAGGCTCGGAGTGGTGTGTGTGCGGTGTGTGTGTGTGTGTGTAGACTAAATGCACATTTACTAGGAATGTTGTAGTGAGTTAATAATATGCGCGAATACGTGCAGCGGCACTAGCTGTGAGAACGAGGTGTTACATTAGGCCGGGTATCGAATCCTTGACCTTCGGCGGTGGAGGTGGCAGCGTCCGCTTGAATGTTCGCCTCCTTCGCCGCCTCCGCACCGTTCTCTTCGACGGCGTCCCGACGACGACGTCGGCGACGTCCAAATCTCTTCCTTCTCTCGTCCTCTCTATGTCACCGGAGGCTGCTGTAATTACCGATAGCGGCCGGTCCTTGCACCTCCCGGTCAATAAGACCAAGCGTTGTTCCCATTGTTCATTAACACCATAATTAACAGCGCGCTGGTTATCCGATAATTAATGGCCTACCACGTATATGTGTGTTTGCCCCGGCCGGGTATACGCTTCAAAGAAAAAGAAAGAACGGGACCCCATTCGGACCTGACAGTTGAAGTTAATGATCTCGCATTTCATCAAGAACACTTAGTTAATTTCGCCGCATCTTTCAACCCGGACCGAGTAACAGGACGCGTTATTTATATGGACATCTCGGAATTCAAATTTACTTCCTACGTTTGTTTGGCTACCGCTTCTTTTCCCTGCCATCTCTTTCGTAGCTCACCCACCTTTTGCTTTTTGCGATCCATCCCGCTTCTCTCCCTAGTTTCCTATGTTATTACCCGTCTCACATTAATTCAATCTCCATTAAAAAAAATCCAAGAAAAACGCTTTAATGGAACTTGGTAGAAAAGACTTATCGTCGATTATGTGACGGCTATTTTAAGAGTCATTTGGCAGTAAAGCCGTACGGCGTTTGGGAACGACAGCGTCGGGATAATAACAGTGCATAGACGCAATTATTAATGCGCCACGAGATGGCCGGGCGACCGAAGGGGGAAAATAAACATTGATTAATTTGTAAGGCGAGTAGGGTTTATCAACATCATCACCAATCATCCGGCGCTGGACGCGGACAGCGACCCGCGAAGGAAACGGTTGGATTTTTTGCAAATGGGATTATTAATGGCCCAGCCAGTGATTGACCAGCCGAGGTGACGGTGAGCATTTGAGAAGAGGCGAGGAGCTCTCTTTCGTTCGTTCGCGGCATTCAGACGTCAGTTAAGTACACCCGCTACGCGGCTGAATGCGTGCGTGCAGTGGTACACATATTCATTTGTTCCATTCCGACTATCACCATTGTAACTGGAGATCTCGCTCTACCCGACGAGTGTGTATGTATACGTGTATGCTTTGTCTATCGTTTCACGAACAGGGGGGGCAGAATCAAATGCCCGACGGCGTCACACCTCCGGTGCGAACTATCACTTTCGACGCCAAGGGGGCGCTTTTATTCCAATACCCCGCTCATTATCGCACCTCGGCTTCCATTAATTAATCATATTTGCCTAACGCCGAGCGTCTCAAAGGCGTTACGACGTTGCGCGATTTCGGCTAAGCGTCTGCTAAAATGATGTACGAGCGAGCAACGCTTTCATCGCCAAATCTAACACTTAGCTAGACGCTATTTGGCTCAAATTGATTATACCCCAACCGAGAAGTTCCATCTGCCATCTTCCACGAAACAATATCGCTCGCTCTCTAATCTTATTCATTATTATACTAATATCTCCCACGAGCGAACTACTATTTTCGAAACCACAGACACTCAAATATCCCTTCCCTCTCACATACTCACTAATCCGATTACCAGCGCGTGTCACTTCAAACGATTCTATCATCTTGACAGTTAAAACACGAAATTCACTCCTACTATAAATATATTTACAAAAAAAAACATTATTTCATTATTTTCATAATAAATTATATAACTTCAAATTAAATTATAAACTGCTAAAATTATCTTTATATATTCTAACTTTCATAATTACAAATAGTTTTATTAAACGGTTACTTGAAATTGTTCAACGCCTCGCTCATAAAACTTAATAAAACTTAATGGTCGTATCCAAAAGCTTTATAATGACAATATATAATAATATAATGGTTACTGTGTTATAAAACTCGATGTTATTAGTTTCATATAATGAGTTGCTTGTTGAAAAAGTTGATAAAGTAATTCAATTGCTTTGAAAATAGATTTCGCAGAAGGTATGATTCCCGGAGCCCATTAGCGTTAAGTAAATTTAGGTAGGACAGGAAAGAGCAGCCACCGCCTTTGTGGGTCCGAAACTTGACAAACACTTGAGCCAATTTGCGGGGGGATGTTTAGAAGAACTGCAAAGAGGTTCGTTTAATGCGTTCTCCTCGTTCCCGGTAACGCCCACACTCGAAAATTCGGGGTTGTTATGTCGCAAATCACTTGACAAGGGTTGTGGGGGGTGAGTGTTCTGTTTTCTTTCGTCGGCGGTTTTTTGCCGTCCGTGAGGAAACGCGAACAATCGCCGGCCCGTGTTTATGAGGTACACCCTCGGCGTTATTAATTTAAAAGGGGCGCAGCGGTCTCTGGCGGCACCCAATATCTGTCTCGACGGGACGGGCAACTTATTGGACCTCCCGCGGTCGCGACCCCCTCCGTACGCCGTATCAACACCTACCATGCTGATTATGACGTTTTACTATATAGGGAGCAAGCCTTTTGTTCATCAGGTAAGTTCCGGAATGGTTTATAAGAAGAAGAAAAAATAATTCATCGAGATTAACCCCTCGTAACAAAGAGGTCTTCATCGTATTGTAGTAATCTCGTGATAATTAACAAAAAAAATATTTTCAAATGAAATGGTCGAAAAACAAAGAAAAATAGGAAACATCAAATTAAGATTTGACAGGAGCGACCGAATAAAATTAGAGTCCAATTATCATTGCACGGCTCAGATAAAACTATAATTCGGAATAACAAATGAG